TGTAACCTACCTTGACCATAGTTATATAATGTCTTAATTCCTATTTGATGAATTAAGAAACCATGGCATGTATATAGAACATTCTATGTGTTTCTCACAGTGTATGTTACATTCTAGACACAATTGTACATGCAACAGTTTTCTAACTATAATTTAAATACCTGTATTATCTAGAAAGGCAGAGGTGGGTGTATCTGAATGCATTACATATGTACACACAAAACATCAAGGGCAACAAAAAGCAACACAGTCTTATGTATGGATAATTCCTTTTCCACTGTTTCCATTGGGTGGGTTCCACAGAGCTACATTTTAATTCTTATCTCACCAATACTTCACACTGCTTGAAAACAACACTACATGGTTTAGAAATATGTTCTCTTTCTTTGTCATGCAAATCAAGTCTATGCACACATACGTGGTCCAAATGAAAGAATGACTGTATTTTGCATAAGGATATTTGATTTACGGCTATCATCAAGATACTTGCAAATAATGTCTGGTTCTACTCTATCCACATCTATTTCAGGTATGCCATTACCATTTCCTGGTTTTATTTAAATGAGCCTCTCACAGAGGATTAAGAAGGGCGAGAGACGGTGCAGTGGATCTTCCTGATGTATTCAGTGACACAATTAATATCCAAGCATGATCCACAGCATTATGATGTACAGATCTGGTTTCATTTTATGTTGCTTATACACCTGAGGTTCTTGATTTCATTAGGAATAAAGCTAATATCATTACAGGCAACACCTGGATACTAGAGATCTTCTCATAAAAGCAATCTACAATGAAAGAAAACAGAATGATGAATTAGAAACACAAATGACAGAGAATCATGGAGTTAGAATAATTTAGACTGAAGGACCTCTGGAGGTCATCTAGTCCAACTCTGCAGCTCAAACCATTTTTAACTGCTACACAGTTTGTAGGTGTGCATGGTTTTTACCTAGTATGGAAAAGTATGGTGGCTTAGCCTACTTTGAGCATCCAAAACTGTGGTTCAGCTCTTACATGAGCTGAAATGACCTCCAGAGGTATTCTCTCCCCTCAGTGTGGACACTGAGATGGGTGCCTCAATTAAGTAAGTATCTAAAGCCAGCAGGATGAAGGTAGGGCACAGCATTCAAAAATACTCTAAAAAGGGACTTCTATACTCCAGAATCAACACAGGTCAGTAGAAATTTAGTGTATTGACTGAGTTTTAAAATGTTGCCTATTATTACTGCTACTCAAAGGCAGGCAGTAGAGCTAAAAATGGAAGCCATAAGAGCATTCTTTCTCAGAATGTGTTCAGGTAGAATGCCTATTTACTGAAAACAAGCCACAGCTGACTAATGCATTTATGCAGGGAAGATTAAATATGGCAAGATATCTTACCCAGATGTAAGGTGTGATACGTCTTCATAACAAATGTCATACATTCCTTCATAGCAAATTGAAGGAAACTGTAAATGTCTTCAGTGTGTGAATGTCATTTGGGATTTTTCTAATGAAGATGTTCAGGAGCACCAAGACTTATGAAATTTTAATATTAAACACCTTAAGAGGTGTGGTAGCTGCACCCACACTGACTGAAGAGCTGTTGAGCCACAATAATTGCTAATAGATACATGTGCTGACTTGTCTCTGCTGGAATGTAAAAATATATCTGCTAGTTCTAACAGATATTCACTGACTTTTGTCTGTCTCAGATTTTGGTAATCACCTGCTGATTTTGGTCACAACTGACTATTGCTAAACCACACATTGTTTGAAAGCCAAGAACCCTCAGACCATATTTTTGATCACAGATCAGATTTCACTAGGATATAAACGGGGTCCTGCCAAAGGGCAAGAGTTGAGTCAGTCCTCCTCAGAGCAGCAGGTCTGCAGCCAAGGACTCTCCTCTTGCGTCAGGGTGCTGCCTGAGGTAACTCCTTGAGGTTGAGAGCCCGCACCTTGACTGGCAAGTGAAATGTGTTTTGGGTTAATTCCCTTTAAAACTTAAACCTAAAAGTCAGTCTTATAGTATTTGATTCCACTTGGCATCTGGGATGTGTATTTTACTAATGTTATCAGAGTATTAAATGAGTTTTGATTAGAATAAATTTCCTCTGGGGCTTGTAACCTACCCAAGTCAATTCTGTGGGCCTCCATAACAGAGACTAATAGCATGTTAAACTTTGAAATCTTGACTAAGTGATAGAAAGGATTGATTGTGTGCATATATATATATATATATATATTCCATTAGATATAAACCACTGACCAAGTCTGGGACTAGGAATGGATCCAGCCACACCTATAGATTTTAGTAGCTACTTATTCCTATTAATTTACACTAAGCCTGCTCTAATTTAGATCTCCCCAGTAGCTGCAGGTGTTTAGCTGCTGCAGATCATGTCTGGGCACCTTAAGTGAGCTGGGCACCGCAACACTGGGAATTTGTTGCTCATTTCTGGTGGTAGATAAAGGACAGGAAGACCCATGCTAGCAGACAGGAGCGTGGGAGGGCAGCCATGAAGACCTCTCTCATTCTTCCTGTGATTCTTCCTAAATTTCAAATAATCAAAAAGGTAAAGAAGTTGAATATTGTAAATTGTTATTGTTCATGTCTTATAAGTACCTGTGCTACGCCATTTGCCTCACTGATTACATTGTGAGTCTTTGGAAGTTATTTTTATATCTGAACTGTAAAATTAAAGCCTTACATCATTTTAGTAAAGTCATGGAAAATAAGCAGCACATATCTTTAAAGAAAAAAGAATAAATTATTGAAATATAAGTTAAGATAGACCAGGGTATTCATTAAAGCGGTCAGTGTGGGAAGGTGAAACAAATAAAAGGCCTAAAAGATACATAAAAAGGATCAGCTGCTTAAAGAAGCCTCTCAGACTTTTCATTTAAATGTAAAAAAAAGTAAGATCCTTAAGAAAAAGTCCTCAGGGATCACAGATATATCATGAAACAAAGCCAGAAATACAGTTTGACTGCCTGTGGATGGAGTCAGTTTAAACAGTGTCAAAGATATGTGGCCTTAAGGCCACATTAGCATCTCAAAGCCCAGACCACCCTGCCCCATGCCACAAAATACTTCACTGTCATTCCTACTCCCTTCCATCAAATCCAGATAACCAGTTCTCTTTTTCAAGGTGCACACAGTACAGCATTTGATTTTCTCTTAAATTTATCAAGGAGCAATTCCTGGCTATGGGTCATGAGGAAAAAGAGGAGCATATGTGCACACTGCTTACATGTTTAAGCTTGAACCCATTGTCCCTTGTCCTATTCCTACAGTCCAACATGAAGAGTCCCTCTCAAGCATCCCTGTCAACTCCCTGCAGATACTGGAAGGCTGCTTAGAGGAATCCACTAAGCCTCCACTCTCCAGTCAGAATAGCCCCAACTTCATCAGCCTGAGGCTCTCTGGACCATGATGCAAACCCTAACCATAATCATAGTTTACCTGGCATCCTGGTTCTGAGGCTGATATCTACTAGACAAATCTGTGTCCCAAATGAGAAGGGTGGTGAAGCAACCATGTTGGTGCAGTGCCATGCTTCGCTTGGCATTCCTTTGTCAGGAACATTTTCCCTGGAGTTGTAGGTTTTTTGGCTCTCCGAACTGTAACCCTAACCATATACCAAATCTGCATGGCATCCTTGATCTGAGACTGATGTCTTCCAGGCGAACAGGTGTCCCAGATAAGAAAGGTGTGGAAGAGGAAATGTCGGTGCAGTGCTGTGCACCCTTTGGAATGCTTTTGGCAACCCTAGTATCCCTGGAGTGGTAGGCTTTGTGTCTTTCTGAACCCTAACCCTAACCGCAACCCTAATTTGCATGGCATCGTGGATCTGAGGCTGATGTCCTCCAGCTGCTGTTGAAGGAGCAATGTTGGTGCAGTGCCGTGCTTCTTTTGGAATGATTTAGTCAGCCTCAGTATCCATGATGCTGTGGGTTTTGTGGATCTCTGAACGCTAACCCTAATCTGAACCATAATTTGCATTGCACGCTGGTTCTGAGGCTGATGTCGTCCAGTGAAATGGGTGTCCCAGATGAGAAAGGTCTTTCTAGAGAAACGTGTTGCAGTGTCGTGTTGCCCTTGGGTAGGCATTTAGCAGCGCCTGCATCTCTGGCTCTCCCTCCCCCCTATCCAGAATGTGCTCTGGAGGCAACAGCTTCTGGGTCCTGTGTACAATGTACAGTTTTGCTCTTCAGTCTTATTCCTCATTCAGACAGATACATTTATTTGATTTCTTCAAGGACAAGATAGTGTGCTGGATGTTTTGGTCCTAGTCTGCTGACAGGATCATGCCAGCTTAAAAGGTAGGTAAATTTAGGATGGTGTTTCTTTAGCAACAACAAACTAGGGTCATATATCACTCAAAGTACTGTTTTTGCTGGAGTTTGTAATTAGAACTTCAAACACAAAACCAAGAGTTACTGTACAGCTGCATGAAAATCTGCCTTCATATCTAACATATTTCTAAGATGCTGAAATATATTTCCTGTTCCCAAAAGAAAGCTATGTCAAAAACATGTAGGATTGTTTTGTACTGAGCAAATTGGAAGTCTTAATAATTTAGGAAGGTATTATTGTTTAATCTTCTTATGAATCTACACTTCTGTTTAATAAATAAGATGAGACTTCAAAGGCAATGTGCCTTAGACAGATAAAAGATACACTTTGCAAAACAGAAATTAAGGCATTTAAAAGAAAGTTGATAGTGTTGACCACTTCTATAATTCAAATAAATTTGAAAATTTTGGACCATTTTTTAATGGTGGCCAAGAAGCATCCTGGAACACCAGAATACTGACTCTGAAATGAGGTACCTCTCCATTTTTTTCCATTAATCTTTGGCATGACTCTTCCAGTTCTATACACACAGAACTTCACTGCAGCATGCAGTGACACAGATTTCTGGAGTTTCTGGACAGAAAGCTGCATTTTCAGGAACAGAACCCCAACCTCAGCACAGCATCAGGTTTCTCAGTTCTCCCATACACAAAAATAATGCGATATGACAGGTCTTTATTTACCTTATTGGAAGCCTTAGCAAAGCTGCAGAGATCATTGTGTTTAGATGCTGCATAAAGTTACAAGATGCGGAGGCTGTCTAATAAGGCAGCAGTGGAGGGACTCTAGGAATAACTGGAAGTCAGCCTGCTCCAGAAGAGGACATAGCACAACCGCAGCAATGTAGGGCTCTGCATGAGATGAGAGGCAGGGCTGCACTGACCTTGCTGTCCTGCAGACCCATCTGTGTCCCTGTATGTAGCTGCATGTCACTGTGTGGATCTGTCAGCCCACTAAAGGCTAGCTTGGAGCTCTCTGCAACATACAAAAGATGAGTAAGACCTCACGAGGCTGGGACAATGCTGTTGTATATAAGTACTTTTAAATAATTTAATGTAATTTAAGCAGCTTGCCTCAAGAAAAGAATGGAGCACAGCAAATACTTCACCAGTGATGACCATGAACCAAGAATCTTTTTAGTATGTGGCGAGGCCTGATTTTCTACTAAAAATAACTTGACTAGTTTTTCCCCTCTAAAAAGAATAATAATAGTGCTGTTAGCAAATAATTCTCTTAATAAACAGTAGGCAAAGTGTAGAGAAGTTGAATAAAACAAGGAGAAGGGTCATTTGAGGATCTCAGCTGGTAAAGTGGAGAGTAGCTTCATTGATTTGGTACTTTAGAGATGATTCACAGTTTCACAGTTTCACAGTATGCTAGAGATTGGAAGGGACCTCAAAAGATCATGTAGTCCAATCCCCCTGCTGGAGCAGGAATACCTAGATAATGTTACACAGGAATGTGTCCAGGCGGGTTTTGAATGTCTCCAGGGAAGGAGACTCCACAACCTCCCTGGGCAGCCTGTTCCAGTGTTCCGTCACCCTCACTGAGAAGAAGTTTCTTCTCAAGTTTAAGTGGAACCTCTTGTGTTCCAGTTTGTACCCATTACCCCTTGTCCTATCATTGTTTGCCACTGAGTAGAGCCTGGCTCCATCCTCGTGACACTCCCCCTTTATATATTTATATACACTAATAAGGTCACCCCTCAGTCTCCTCTTCTCTAAACTATAGAGACCCAGCTCCCTCAGTCTTTCCTCATAAGGGAGATGCTCCACTCCCTTAATCATCTTCGTTGCCCTGCGCTGGACTCTCTCCAGCAGGTCCCTGTCCTTCTTGAACTGAGGGGCCCAGAACTGGACACAATATTCCAGATGCGGTCTCACCAGGGCAGAGTAGAGGGGAAGGAGGACCTCTCTCGACCTACTAACCACCCCCCTTCTAACACACCCCAGGATGCCATTGGCCTTCTTGGCCACAAGGGCACAGTGTTGGCTCATGGTCATCCTGTCGTCCACTAGGACCCCCAGATCCCTCTTCCCTACACTGCTCTCTAACAGGTCATTCCCCAACCTATACTGAAACCTGGGGTTGTTCCTGCCCAGATGCAGGACTCTACACTTTTCCTTGTTATATTTCATCCAGTTATTCCCTGCCCAATTCTCCAGCCTGTCCAGGTCTCGCTGGATGGCAGCACAGCCTTCTGGCGTGTCAGCCACTCCTCCCAGCTTAGTGTCATCAGCAAACTTGCTGATAGTACACTCAATTCCCTCATCTAAATCATTGATGAATATATTAAATAATACTGGTCCCAGTACTGACCCTTGAGGCACTCCACTAGTTACAGGCCTCCAACTAGACTCCGCCCCATAGACTACAACTCTCTGGCTTCTCACCTTCAGCCAGTTCACAGTCCACCTCACTACCTGATCACAGACCACACTTCCTCAATTCGTATAGCTGAGGAATTTATATACTGTACACTTTTCAGCAATGAGAAAAAAGACCTATAAATACTTTTCTCTACAGCAACATAAGCGTATCGCTGGAAAGAACGTGAAAAGTCAATAACTGGTTTTTATAGTACCAGAAAGAGAACTCCCTGCACTGTTTGTCTGCATGTGATGGTGGTTCTGGTATTTCCATCTCTGTAACTGCCAGTTTCCATTTTGGTCATACTTGCAGAAATGGTTAATAAAGTGACATAACCTGTTTGATTTGACAATTAAATTTCTTACGCATATGGTACCAGAGAACCCCCAAATAAACAGGTATCAGACAAAATTTGTGCCAAATTGCTACAATATGGAATACTTCTTACCACACCTTACAAATACAGACATAGCACAGCATAAGATTTTCAGGTACCAAGGAAGTTTACTGTGAAAATTGACATTTTAACAGGTTTTCTAGATCACAGATACAGGAAAGAGAGCAGTAACAACAATCCTGTCAAGGTTATGGAAAAACGAATGGAACATTTACAGTTAATCTACACAGAGCACGAAATTGAGGTTCATTTAAAGCAGAATGTATTCAGCCAGAATTATTCCCAAAATCTCTAATGGGTTATTCCTGATCTACCCTCTCACTCAGTATATTTACTCTGAGCTATTAAAATCAATATGTGAAATGCACTATGTACCTCTAAGGAGGAGCTTGCTTATCAAAATAACAGTTCCTATTCTAATGGAAGCCTGCAAACCATTTCTATCAGGGTGGCTTAGAAAACCATTTCCATTTGCCAACTTCCAGGGATTTGTGTCCTCTATGAGGGCAAAAACATAAATTCTGGTAGAGGATCCCACTTGGGAGTTTGAGTGACGCTTCGTCTGGTTTGTTCAGCTAGGAGACTAAACGGCTGGTTCAGACCCACCAATGGACAAAGTTTTAACCAGCAGGCAAATTCCCAGAAACCATGAAATATTAAATCTCTGGTTCCTTACCAAAAGCAAGAGGCACCTTCTCTCATTTTCCGCATCTGACAGCTACTTTGTATGATGCTGACATAACTTGGGTTGAATTACACTTTGGCAATAGGTACAGTGCTAAGCAAGTGCCAAGAAAACTATGCAGGCTGCATCAGAAAGAACACTAGTAACAGTAAAAGTACAGAGGAAATGGCAAAAGAAAGTGAGACAAGAGAAAAGAAGAAATAAACAATGAAGAATTTAAGGCAAGGGAACTGTAGAAGGAAAGAATGCAAACCAGTTACCCTACAGCTACTCTAATGTTAACAAAAGAGTTTTAAATCATTCTAAACACTTCTTTTTCATGCAGTGGTACAGTATGAAATTTAAGGTAATTTTTCCATGGGTGAGGTTACAAAGCCAAAAATACTTTGAGTGAAAGCTGCTATTGACTCTTACACACAGCAACATGATTAATGTACCTTTAAAGGATATACCTGAAGGCTAAGAGCAATCTTCTGGTACAAGAAGCAACATAATTCTTCCACTAGGACCGAGACATCAGTTTTTCCTCTTCATCTTGCTTGCTTGCTTGCTATAAAATGGAAATTAGTTTCCCAAACATCCTCCACACTACTGTCATCAGGGGCATCATTAGAGTCTGTGATATAAAAAGGATGTCAGGCATTACAGAAGTTCTTAGGGGAAAGGAAACATTAGAAAATGAAGACTGAATGAGAAGTGTTCTGCAAACCTGCATTTAATCCTTGAGATCCTTTGTTGCCATATTCAGACAAAACTTTCATGCAGTAATCAATTAACTCATTAGTATCTTCATAAGGATATAAAGACTTCAGGTTCTTTACAAACACTTTCCCCTTTAGTGGGAGAAGAGTAAGTCTTCATGTACAGAAAAAAGGGGCCAACAAGTAGAACTGGATTATAGCCTACAGTAATGGCAGTAGTTTGCCCTCCTCCATAGCTACCATTTGCGGTTAGAGGCACTACAGGCTTCTCATTGTGCTGGAGTGTGCTAAACCTGAAACTGTTCAGAAGTGACATCCTTCTCCAGAGTGCTTTAGATCTTGTAACTCTAACCTCACTGTCACTTAAATGCCAAATCAAGATTGCATATTAAGTTGCTATAATTCCACTGTATTGCTAATGCAACGGCTGTAGTCCTCCAGAGTCCACAAGTGCCTTGCTGCATTTCTGAGAATTTTATTTCCCAGAATGCAGTTTTATGACTGTCAAACAATGTCATCCATCTAGTTTCTCTCTTAAAAGTGACACATACTGCTTGATCCTGTCTGTAAAGGACCCTTCCTTTCCAGGTTCAGGTAGCTTTAAGTAACGTCTAGTATATACTTTTTCTTTCTTTTCCTCTTCTAAAAGTTCTTCTGGTGAACCAGATTTTCTCACCCAAGGCTGTTTCTAAAGAGAAGTGCAAAATAATAGTGGAAGACACTCTGCATGTGCAAAAACTAATTTCCTTTATACATATGGCTCAGAATCATGCTTTTTATGCAGTTTTGCAGCCAACCATAGAGGTATGACTCCTCTCTTCAGAAGAAGGGAAAGACTCTTCAAAGGGTGAATCAAACCTTCAGACAGCTGAACTCAGTGAAATTGCTTACCACTCTTTGCTGATTACCAAAAGGTTTATAAATTCCATTTACTTAGTTTATTCACCTCCATTCAATGACTGTGTGGTGGGATTGCACTGAGCCCTACTGATGCAGAGGTTCATTTCATACATCTCCCACTAGAACTGGACTTGGCCTTTCCTACCTGGGCTATTCCCAAAGAACTTATTCTAGAGTTGGTTCCTTAGATGGTCCCAAATTTCTGAACAGTACTGCAGCTAGTGATCATTTAGTTCTGAACATTTTTATCAACAAAGAAATGCTTAGTAAATCATCCTTCATTCAGCTTGTGTATTTCCACAAGGTTGATGTTCTGTTCCCTTTGTTAGGGAGATGTTCCCTTGGTCAGGGAAACTCATTTCCAGGGACCTCCTGAGGGGGAAGTTACTCCTTATGGCTCTCTGCTACAACTCAGCTCTCAAAGAAAGCTGTGACTATTGACTTATCTTCCTGGCTTTCTTGCCCTCCACCAGAGTGTTTAATAGCTTCCAGCCCTGTGCTGGGCACAGTCCACACCCTGACATTTCTGCTGCCTTTTCAGCCAGCTCCTTCATTGTGTTACATCCTCACTTTGTATACTCTCCTGCAGAGAAAAGGACTTTTATGCCACACTACACCATCTTCTTTTCCCAGCCCGGGGCTCCCACTGTCAGATCTCAGTCTCACACTTCATGAAGCACAAAACAATTCTATCCACCAAGATATCGAACTACCACTGCTGAAGAACTGCTTGCTGATCAATGGCCATGTTGTTGTATAAATATCTTTCAGGTGTAATGGTTCCGCTTGGAGAAATGATCCTTGAACAAAATTTACTGGGCAGCTCGTAGATTCTTGTCAGGTTTACTATTTAAATACATGATCTATAAATAGCATCCATCACTAATACGTACTACTACAAGGAGAGGCATCACAACAGAACTTTGTTTCAGGATAAAAGGTTTATCTATCACTTTTAAAATGGTTTAAATCACTGAAGTGATAGTGAGCCAGAAATATTTACATCTGTTCAGGCAGCGCCAGACTGGAAATGTATTGTATGGAAGGAAATTTTACCAGCCCTTCAAAATATTTGGAAGGGTTTAATAATATCAAGGGGAGAATAACTATATCGCCTGACTTTTCAACCTTATTTCTCTAATTGCAACTTCTTTACTATTTTAAATACTGTTACAAAGGTATTACTTTTAGTATATTCTTGCTGTTCCTTTCAAATTAATATTACACAATGATAACAAATATAGTATGACATTATTCTAACAAAATGTCAATTACCATTTATTTCAAACATATTTATTTTTTCTTTCTGTTTGCCTGCTTTATTGGCTATGTCATGATTGAGGAGTTTTAGCTATTTAGATACTTCTAACACAACTACAGAGGCTAGATGGAAAAAAAGCTTGCTTTGGTGTCTTTAACCCAGTTTGTAGGGACAGCATTTTTTTTTCATGCTACCACTTTATGCTGATCTTTACAAAAAGCACTGCAAAATTTCTGTATGCTGCAGTTGTACAGCAGATCCTAGGGCTTGGCATTTTTGACAGAAGTCAGTGAACCTGACTTCAGGTGCCAGGATCCTTCTCTACAGATCTGTTTCCAGGATTGGTGCCTAGTTTCTAGCTTAATTTTTTATTACTTAAGTTAAAAATGTTTTTATTACAGCTCATGTTATTATTTTTCACTTTCATTTTTAAAGGTTAGTCCTTAAATATTTAATCAATAGCTACTTTATATAAACTGGAAAGAGCTTTTCATTCACATATATAGGCCCACAAAATGCCCAGTTATTTCTGAACCATACTGCACTGTGAGTCCTTTGTTTTAATTAGAAATCCTTGATGCCTTTAAAATAATATAAACCAACATGTGGCTTTTTTCATGGATGTATATTCTAAGAAAAGCAGGACCATTCCCCAACCATTTCAAAAGTGACAGATAAACCTTTTATCCTGAAACAAAGTTCTGTTGTAATGGCTGTCCTTGTAGTAGTACCTATTAGTGATGGATGTTATTTATAGATTATGTGTTTAGTAAGCCTTATTTTTTTCATTTAATTTTTCATCTTCATTTGAGTTGTATCCTACTTCCCCTATGGTGTGACTCCATGTGACCTAACTTAATTTTTCTTGGTGCCACCAGTTTTTCATGTTCTCTCTCGTATCTATGTATGAGTGAGGGGGGATGCCTCTCTTACCCAGTAGGTAGTGTTCAAGTCTGATAGGTGGAATACCTAAGTTCCAGAAGCTGCCTTGATGACTTTACCACTGTTTACATGAAGAGCTTCCCAAGATATGCAGGTCATGCAGGTCATACAGGTCACACTACAGTCTTATTCTCACTGCTTTGCACTAGTAGCTTAACTTCCAGTCTGTCTTCTATGTAAATTTTAGAGAACACATGGAATTTGAAACTATGCACTACAAGAATTGTCTTTATACAATTTGCCTTTACCAAAATTCTCCCTCAATTCAGATGACAGCTTAGGATGCAGAGGCCTACAAAGCAGTTTGCTCAGTCATTTTGTGCTTTGTCCTTGTTCCTGATGGATGACTGAAGATATTTCAAAAAATCAGAAGAATCTGACAAGGCAAATAAAAAGAAATAGTCATCTCTAGTTTAAGGTGTTCAGCTATAAATGTCTGCTCAGATAAAGCAGGTGATAAAAGAATCATAAAACAGGAGAAGTGGACAAAAAGAGCATTTGTTCACTTAATAACCAATTCAACAGTTTCTCTAGATATCATTAGTGTACCAGGAAATAAATCGGTGATTAAAAAAGAAAGTAATTAGCTTTACTTGCAGTAAGGAATGTTTTTCAGCACCTCTGTCAGAAAAGGTGGGGAAATTGGAGTTTTTAGTCTCTGTTCTAAAGGAGGAACAGTAAAATAGGGAAACACCCAACGTCAAGCTTTCTAAAAGCTCCCAGAAACAGTTTCTGCTGGATAAACAGATTTAATAAGAGAAACAGTTTAACCCTTGTAAAAAGCTGATTCTGCAAGTAGCTATCTTATGCTTTGTTGTGGTTTCCTCTTAGTTTATGAATACATGCAATGATAATGGTTGCAATCAAAAAAACCCTGATTTGGTTTCAAAAATCCTCTTATTAGTAGCCAAGTTTAGCAAATCTCTGATTTACAGTAATTTTCAAGATTATATACATGCTAAATTCCAGAATTTTTTTTTTTCGGTTGTTTGGTTTTTTTGTTGTTTTTTGTTTTTTTTTGTAAGGCTGAAAACTTGTAAGACTTCACAGAGTATAAAGATCTGGTACTAAAGATCTGCAAATCAGAAGGAAAACACAGAAGGGAAAGCACTGATGAAGGTGGCTTTGAAGAGAAAGAGCCATCAGGAAACTAATGGTTCACAGGAAGATTTATTAAGGTTTAAAAAATGGTCACATACAGCTAGAAGCAAGGACAACTCTATGCAAAAATATTTCAGTAATTTAAAGTAGATAAACTTGACGCTTCAATGCAATTTTGCTTGTGGACAAGATTAATTTAAATGAGTGCAGCATTATATAAAACCGCACTGAAAAGAAAAAAATACTGTGATGAAAAGAACAAGCAGTCCCGAATTATGTAAACAGGGCTGAGTTCTGATTTGACACTTTGCTAACGTGCATGAATGACAGTTAAACAAGGGGATGGGGAAAAGAAGAAGCAGGGGAAGTTTGAAAAGGAAGCCTGGAGCTCAGTTATAGCCATCCTGAGTTTGAATAAATGGTCAAACATTGCAGCAAGATAAGTGACCACTGCATGAAAATAACTGGAATCTGGCATGATTCATGATGTTAACCAGGGGCTAGCGACAACATCCTTGCAATAAACTGGAAGAACAGGAGAAAGAATATAATATTAAAACCAAAACAAAACATATAGAGACCCCAATAACATCAACAAAACCACAAAGAAGGAATTCTTAAAAAGGCAAAGGAGTTGAGTTTCAGGAACAAGAACAAAACACTCTATAGCTATGTCTGGACTTCCCTGGTGATTCATTCCATCTTATCATCGCAGACTTTCACTCTTCAGGATAAGGGTTCTGGTACCTGACACATGGATAACAGCATAGGGCACAATTCATCTTGGTAGACACCTCAGCACTTCTCTAATCCAACCTCCTGCTCACAG